GGTGTTGCTATTTTTTTTCCAAAACCTGTTTTTACTCTAAGGTTATGTGAATGTTTTTTTTATTATCAGAACAGACAAAGAACTTTTAAAACGATAACAATACAGAGATATCTATCGTACTCAGTAAACTATTTATATGTCAGTAGATTAAACAGCTTCTAATCTACGCAAGATTAGTACAGTGTTACATTTCATATACACGTGGGTAAATTTGTTTGAATAAAATGGATACTTTTTCGTTGCTAAGCAACTATCAAATGTTGTTTATATATTCCATTTAACCAGTTAACAATATTCTGTACCGTGGCAACTAGATTTGATATTCAGTTTTTGTTTACTGTTATGTTTTTTACTGTGTGTTTGGTTTTTCTTGCATACAGTCATACAATACTGAACAGATTTCATTTAGTTATTACCATGACAGAAAATATTAACGGAATCTCACCAACGGAATTTTACTATTTCTCAATTTGACTTTCTGAAATAGCTGTCCTTTAGCAGATTTGCATTGATACTCGTTAATAATTAAAGATGAAATGACAATCTGGACCACGACAGGATTCGAACTAGCAACCTCCGGGTTATCGCCCCAGTGCTGTACCAACTGATTTGCGAGGTATGGCTACTGTAGTAAAATCAAAATCTGTCCAGAAACTGGATCTGGTAGTTCAATTTATAGAGCATTAAGCCAGTAACCCCGAGGTTGGTGGTTCGAATCCTTCCGTAGCCCAGATTCTCATTTCAGCTTCAATTGTCATCATGTATTTGCAATCCAAGCAATTGGTGAAGACCGAGTGAAATTTTTATTTCAAATTAAGAACTGACACTGTCAACTTACTTCATTTCGAATGATAAGGTAGTCAGATATCACTTAGTATACAGTTTCCTCTAACCTAAGTTAAACACCTTTTATTAACCCTGTATATACACCTATACCTTGCTTGTCCTACTTTAAAAGCGTCTGACTAAAATCACAATTATAAAGTACTTTCGCACCACCTTGAATAGTTTATGGAAAGACAAAACTAGCATATAGGAGGTGATGAGCGTAGTTTTTGAAGCATCCTTATTTCTAAAACTTTTGGCTCCAATTAGTTTTTTCCTATGATACTCCATAAACAAATGGTAAATGATCCAAGAACTTTCACTGACATTCATAACTTGTTTAGGTTCAGTTGATTTATGGTACCTGAAGATGATATGGCTTGTAAAGAGTCAGTAGTTTTTCAGATCCTTCCTCTTGTCACCCAGCAACAAGATGATAGTCAGTGAAAATAGAGAGGTGATTCATGTAACTGATTCATCTGATGGGACGTAATTGTTATTTCTCCTTCTGAATCAGCTTCAACGTGAATTTTTTGCATACGACTTGGTACTGCTGTTTAACTTTTATATATATAAGCGGTTTGTGAGAAACACTTATGTTACGGAAGACGAAAGACAGATGGACATACTTTAGTGATGATGAGACATAAAATTCTGCATCTTTAGAGGATTTGAACCAGAGAACTTCAGGACATTACTTTCCATATCTTAGTATCATTCAAGTGTATGACATGTGTTAGTATCTCATATTGCAATGAACACTACTTATAAGGACTCATTTCAGTAGTATATAGAGCAGTATCGTGAAACACAAGAAGTTATAACAATCGACTGAAGTTTCGGGATGAAAGAAGACTCAACACAAAAGAGAAATACGAAAATAACACCGCAAATTAAGATGTTGAACAAGAAGAATACTTCCACGTATGACATCATTGTAAGGTTTAATATTTTTACTGAGTGTAATTTTCAAATGAACATTCTTTTCTTGCTGCACTGAACTTCACTTCAATAACACCAAAACCTCAATCAAAACCAAGCAAGTTGCTGACTAAGGATAAGACATTTAGAACATTGTTATTGGAAAAAGTATACATTAAAACAAGATTTGAACTGGTGAACTATCATATCTCATCTTTAACAAGTGCATTATTTAAATGGAGAACAATTGTTGACATCATTCATAGCTAAATGTGAATGTAAGAAGAAAATCCAAGAAATTCAAGCTTACCATTCGATATACCAAATAGTTCAGGTTTCTACTACTTGTTCATAAGCTGTTTCAGGTTACTCAGTTTAACACTTATACTTGACTCAAGTAGTTCAAAGAGGCCTTCATTACTGGAATAAAATGATGAGTTTGGAAATGATTTGCAGATTGCATAGTCCATACTGAAATTCCTCAAAGTTGAGTAGTTCTTCGACAGCTCAGCTTTGGTGTCAACAAGGCTTCCGTTGGAAACTATCCTTCAGCCAAGATCACAAGGTGTTATCTCTGACGATGATGTCATGAACTAGCAAAATATACTACTGAACAATTTGAGTACTTAGAAATCATTAAGGTGAGTCAGCTAGCCAGATTCGAGTGATATGAACTAATTCTGCAACCATGAGTTGAATTTATACTGGCACATCGCTTATGAGCCCAGCCCCAAACGAGCAAACCGGTCGTCCGGTGTTTAGATATGGCTGACGAAATCTACAGATCAGCATGAGTGGATCCTAGCTACTCAAATTGTTCAGTAGTATATTTTGCGTTCATTCCTGATTATCAGCATCAACCAGGTTTTAAAATTAGAAAGTGCAAGGCAGCTGACCTTCGTCTTTGTCCCGGGCTCTTCAGTAGTCTTATTGTTTACACCATCCCGTCGTTGACTGGACCGAATTGATTGGTCTCTATTGGCATATGGGCTCCTGTGAGGATGCCTCAATATTGCCTATGTTTATGTATTAACGATGGGTAGTGGCTAGCAGTGGAATCTTGGATGGATGTTTCGTCTTGTTTGCGACTCAGCCGGATGTATCTGCCTCCCAGTGAGGGATGTTGTTCCCACTGGGAGGTAGGTACATCCACTTGACGATTCTCAGCTAAGACAAAACATCCGTCCTGGATTCCACTGCTAGCCACTATTCACCATTAATACTCTTCATTAGTGCCTAGTGTCAAATGTACACTGTATCAAGTGTATGATCATCTAGTTTTATTCATGACCCGTGATCGTCTAAGTGCTTTGTGCAAAATTGCTTATTTTTAGATACCTTTCAGCACGGATCAACGTTATCTAGAAAACCTTTGCGCATCAAGAGTCAGTGAACTATTGTTTTGATCTGGCTTGCATCACCTCATTAGGAGAGTTGTTTCTACTTACAGCTGGGTGTATTCAGCGTCGAACAAATCAGCTGTGCAAGACTCCCTAGTTTACAAAGATCTTGAAACCAACATAGGAATTGTCTTCAAATCAGTGAATTTCCCACAAACCTTTAATTTGAATTTAATATTGTTTATCACTAAACGATTAACCAGTAAAGATGAAAAACGCTTGACAATTATGTTGTTCGGTTCCGAGTTTCTACATAAACTCGTCCTCAACAGAACCTTCTAGAAATTTCCTCTCCGGTAGTGCATGAGAAAATGTCAACTTCTACTGGTGTTGACTACCCTTGGAATAATTATCACTGGCTCTAGTAAGAACTGATAGCTTTTGGTAATATCGAAGGTGTGTTTTGGCATGCTCCTTACAACCATAACATTGAAAACCACACAACGCTTTACTTTTTATTGAAGAGGATTGAAAATATCTAGCTATGTAGTTAATGTGGGTGGATCAGACAGTGGTCTACATACTACCGTCGTAAAATGAAGATTTTTATTTTGCATCCTGCTGCGTTTGTCGCAACTGTCTCGAAGATGAACACTTGACAAGCGTATAAACTAGAACGCAAATCACATCCGTAAGAGTGATTACAAATTCTGATAGAATCCATAAGGAGCTGATGAGAGTCAGAATATGAGTGAGCTTTAATACTACCTAGGTACTTCCTATTTCAGAAAAATCAGTATGACATGTGATTACGAACGATTTTTTGTCGTATTCAGGTTGGCCACCTATCGACACTGTTGTCACAGTCCTGTATATCATCTAACTAGCCAGTAACTGAGATGCCTGTTGCTCAGTTTTCAAATGTTACACTTTTGGTCGAAACAGTAAAACAACACGAATAAATTTTTCGCATGAGAAAGTGTGAAAAAGTAACTGAACGGACAAAAACGTAAAGATATTAAGAATCCCTTAAATTAAACAAGCAAACGCCAACTAATAACGGAAAAGCAGTGGGAGACTTCCGAATGTGGTCAGTATGGGGGCTTCACACACCTTACGCTTACTACAGCCAGCAGTGGAAAGAGAAATGAGCATTTATGGTCAAGTGGCACTACATGGAGATAAAAATGCTAGATAGTGTTATGCGGGTTTTAGTTATCACCCGTATGACCCGGAACCTTCACCTTTAAAGGCGAACATGTTGACCGTTGAGCCGCCAAGTCGGGGTTGAACACTCCACATCTTCTTATTCCTATCAATTCACGCAACGACACGACTATGTACCAAGGTCTTCACTTGGCATCTGTTTCACTTCCGACTAGCCAATTGCACAGGTCATGAATTCTCATTAGAACTTCAGGATGTCCATTTCGAAGCATGTCACTAATGAGAACTACAAACTAATGCAATTTGAGGTTTCTAGAGACATTTATTTCGAGGTTGTAATTGTTGGGGACCGATATGAATTAGAAGACCGACGAAAACTAGGGAGAATCCGTGAGCCCTGCGTTTGATCCCGAGTGGTTCATGGGTATCTACAACTCAGGATTCCAGTATTAGGACGAAAAAGCTGTCCAGTGTTTCCAGGTTTTCACCGTTTCCCCAATTGATGTCAGTCCATGATTAACACTACCTAGAAACTAAAATCCCCATTAACCTCAAAATGCATTACTGTATATATACTATGTCTCAAAAGAAGAGAATGTAAGTATTAGTGCCCCCTTATTTCCCAAAGACTGATTTTTTTACTACAGAACTATGATCGTGAAGTTTCCAGGATGTTTGTTGAGGTTATATCCTGTAGATTTTACAGCTTGTATTTCTTTCTCTACCTTTTCTCATATCTAAATGCAGGATCCTGAAATGGAGAACTTTTTCAATGCTGTCACTATATCACCGACTAATCTGTCTTTGAAGAAGCCATCTCAAACACATAGTTCCAGCCAGAACAGTTCACCAGCAAAATATGCCAACACTCATCAATCACCTCAGCATAATCTGTCTGATGTAGAAGACCAGAGAATGACACATGATATTCGTTCATCTCCATATTTAACTGATGACAATCCACAAAAGGTGGTTTCACCCTCCACCAATAAAACAATCTACAATCGTGTAACCAACAACAACAATTCTGGTCGGATATATTCTCGTCTTCAAAATGAAGCGTATGCAGGTAATTTTAACGGTGATACTGATGGTGAATTCCCTCGAAATATTCAACGATCAGGCCTGGATTCTCCTCAGAGTGATAGTGGTTGTAGTTTGGCTAGTCATACCACATTCGATGGCAGAGATGGTATAGTCACACCAGCCTCAGGGAGAGGGACACTGGCTGTTGGAATGGAGAATTATGACTATAATAATAACCATGGCATTGGTCGGCGAATAGCTCAGCAACACTACAATCCCAAACGAGACAGAAGTCGTTGTGTTGGTGGTGATGATGATGAAGAAATGGAAACGGAGTCAAAATCTAATCGGCCAAGAGGATTTGTTTCATTACTACGTAGAAGTCGGAGTAGCGCTGCTGATCATGCAGCAATGCATGGGTTTCGAAGTGAACTTGTCTCACCTTCTTCTAACGACTACAGCAGAGCGTCAATAGACACTCCAACACCAACAGAATCATGCGTTTCAGAATCAGAACAAAATGATGCTTTTACGGACGATCGAAGACCAGGCGATCGTTTAAGTCGATTGAGAGCTTCTCTCAGACAGTCCTTCGGATGGCCTTCATCGAAACCCGATTTTCGAATGGAGGCATTTGCAGCCAGACAAGGTGAAGCTAGAGCTTTGTTGAAATTGAGAGAAACTAGAATGGATGTAAGTCATCATATTTTTTGGCTTTTTATGATTTAACTGAAACTGTGAATTGTACAGTGACAGTTCATGATGGTTAGTTATGGAATCCAGAATGTTGACATGTCCTCACTAGAGAATCAGTATCATGGTGCACTTTGATAGATGCTAGTTGGTTGTTGGCAGTCAGCAAGAAGGTCTCGTAGTAGGTTGTTCTTTGTAAGTACTCGTCAACAAGACAGGTCTACAACCTTGATGGAGTTGATGCTGCCTATGATGTCCAAATCCACAGTTATCACACCTTTTTAACAGTTGTAAACAGACCACTTACTATTTCTCTTATATGATGACATAAACTTTTGACTGGATCTTTTACAGCATTCGCTTTATGCGATATTTTGATTACTTTTCCAGCGAATGAATTTAACCTAATATATTATTACGTAGTTAGTCTGTTCCCTATCATCGACTAATACACCTATTGAACTTCTTCTGTCATCCTTTAATCTAAATATCAGAACACACTGCGATGGCACAGTCATGACTCTAATAACTCAGTGATAGCGTCGCTAACTGCAACACTGGGTGGTGTGAGTTCTAACCAAACTGACGAATCCCAACAAACACAAAACCTACCACTTGCTTCAAACTAAGTAATATCCATCAAAGTGTATTACAATGGTTGGCCTTGCATACTGGTGGCTACACTCCAAAATCGAATTCTGTCACCCTGAGGACTAGACCACATGAGATTGACTAACCTCCAGTGACCAATCAATGCAAACTTCTCTAGCTTCGCAAAATCTCCGTTGAAATTCCTTGTTAATTCTATGTGGATGCTGATGTTCATTACTACAACACATCGCTTCGTATTGACTGACGTCATTTAACTGAGAAAAGTATGTTCAAAACCTTTCGTGGTATGACGTTAGAATGTTTCCAGTTGTAACCAGATAAAGAGAAACAAACGAAATAAACGGATGTCATCATACTAAACTATCATCATAGAATATAGCATAGAAAAGCAGTCAAATCTTTACCTTACCTCAACGTCATCCAGTCTGAAAAGGCCTTCGACAGCATCGACCGAGAAGTATTTTGCCAACTCCTGCTTCAACAATACCCTTCTAGCAACAAAAACATTCTTCTACCTAATTCAACATCTATATGCTATGCTGTATGATGAGACTACATGCCGACTAATTCAAATTGGAAAGCTCAACTCACCAATACCTTCCAAGTGAAGACAAGAAGGAGTAAGACCAGACATGGTTGCTGCCTACTAACACCGACCATCTTCCTGATTGTGGTCGGTCGACTGGACAACAGTGGACTGTACCATGCAACAGACAACTGTGAAGAGCGAGGAAATTGGTATACGTTGGGTGGACCGATGAAAATACCCCAGGAGAAGATTTGGATTTCGTCAACGATGGTAATTTATGTCTAATGTCTGATGTCGCACAAACTCGAGGATGAACAGGCAAAAACTAAAAAGCTGGCAGAAGAGGCAACGCAGTGAGGACGAGACTTCAAGTGAACATAGATAAGACAGACGTGATGAACATACTCAGCCAGCCAACCAACCAACCAACCAACCAACCAACCAACTAACCAAACAAACAACAACAAGCAGCAATCACCATCAACACGGGAAATTTAAACCAAGTTGTCTCCTTCACCTACCTACCTACCTACCTACCTACCTACCTACCTACCTACCTACCTACCTACCTACCTACCTACCTACCTACCTACCTACCTACCTACCTACCTACCTACCTACCTACCTACCTACCTACCTACCTACCTACCTACCTACCTACCTACCTACCTACCTACCTACCTACCTACCTACCTACCTACCTACCTACCTACCTACCTACCTACCTACCTACCTACCTACCTACCTACCTACCTACCTACCTACCTACCTACCTACCTACCTACCTACCTACCTACCTACCTACCTACCTACCTACCTACCTACCTACCTACCTACCTACCTACCTACCTACCTACCTACCTACCTACCTACCTACCTACCTACCTACCTACCTACCTACCTACCTACCTACCTACCTACCTACCTACCTACCTACCTACCTACCTACCTACCTACCTACCTACCTACCTACCTACCTACCTACCTACCTACCTACCTACCTACCTACCTACCTACCTACCTACCTACCTACCTACCTACCTACCTACCTACCTACCTACCTACCTACCTACCTACCTACCTACCTACCTACCTACCTACCTACCTACCTACCTACCTACCTACCTACCTACCTACCTACCTACCTACCTACCTACCTACCTACCTACCTACCTACCTACCTACCTACCTACCTACCTACCTACCTACCTACCTACCTACCTACCTACCTACCTACCTACCTACCTACCTACCTACCTACCTACCTACCTACCTACCTACCTACCTACCTACCTACCTACCTACCTACCTACCTACCTACCTACCTACCTACCTACCTACCTACCTACCTACCTACCTACCTACCTACCTACCTACCTACCTACCTACCTACCTACCTACCTACCTACCTACCTACCTACCTACCTACCTACCTACCTACCTACCCACCTACCTACCTACCTACCTACCTACCTACCTACCTACCTACCTACCTACCTACCTACCTACCTACCCACCTACCTACCTACCTACCTACCTACCTACCCACCTACCTACGTACCTGTCTAGACACCAACCTCTCAAATACACCCGACACAGTCACAAATCACAATATCAAAATCAGGATGGGAAATACAGCAAGACAGGTGTTCGTGCATTAAAGTGAGGAGATCAGAGTGGAAATCTCCTGCAATCCAATGCAGTTCACTTCACTGAACTGAACTGAACTGCACTGCACTGCATTGCACTCAGTATAAAGTGTGAACACGATTCGGATTCTCAACACTGATGTCAAATCACGTCAAGTCAAGTCAAGTCAAGTCAAGCCAATGCTTCTGTGTGATGGTTGAGAGACTTGGTGCATTACGAAAGCATTTCCAACAAACTACAAACATGCATGACATCAACAGTTGCCGTCTACGCTCATTCGATAGTGAAGATGGAGATGAGATGGCGAGAATGATAAGAAAGAATAAGCAAGGAGTAAGTCTGGCTGGTCCCGTAATGAACCAGCCAACAAATATGAAGAATGGGGTGGAGGTGGATTGGACTGGAGTGGAGTGGATTGGATTGGACATACACTGAGAAGAGCAACTAGGGACATCGTTGCACCACACCAGGTCAGATGGGACCATGGTGTCGATTGGTAGTGAAATAGGAAACGACGAGTTGGGCATCCGAGGTGAGGGTGACATAGAGGAGATGGTGTGAGAAGGAGATGAAAGCTTGTGGGCAGTTGTGGAGGCAGGTTGAAAAGACTGCAGCTAAGAGAGTGAAATTTTGACGTGCTATTGAATTTCTATGTCCCGGTATTAATCCAATGGAGAAATGATAATGAAAATACCGTACCTAACTCCAATCGTTCTCGTTTCCCTATTTAATTATGATTATTCTGGTGAAGTTGTAGCGTATATTTAGTGAAATGTTGAGAAAACTCTTGTTTTTATTTTTATAAGCACTTTGGGATTATATTCATATTTACTTTCAAAAGTATACTATATAATGGTTCGCATACTCTTTTCAGCGTTTATCAAGTATGCGAAATATTTAGCAAAGCGTGAACCCAAAGTGTAATTTAAACTCACGCCTCATTAAAGAACTAATGAGATGGAAAATCATTCCATAGGAAAGAATTGTACTGAATACATAAGTGAAAAAAAATCCTTTTCAGTTTTGCGTTGATTCAGGCATACACTAGTGTGTACCTCTGAGTTTACTGTAGCCTGACGGTTTCGTAAATTAAGGTAAATGTTCAGAGAAATGATTTTACAGATTAGTATGGAATTAAAGTACGAAGACGAATCCGACAGCGCGTCATTTTCACTTATATAACCACTGAAGATCAGAATGAACTGAACACTCGTTGTGGTACCTGACAGCAACACAGATTTACTGAAGGGAATCCTCTTGTCATATCACCTAAAATTACTCATTAGTGCCTATAAGATTGATAAATGAATCTTTGTTTATGAAATCAACATCAAATACGTGCACCAGGAGTGATTTAGCACTTGTTCTGGACATATGAAAAACCTTATTAACCGTAGCATAAAGGAGGCGAGGAAATAAGAACCACAAAAAGCATGTCTCAAAGTTGTGGAGTTATCTTAGTGTGACTACAGACAATAAGTTGTCTCTGAAACGTAATCCAGTAAGTAACACTGCTCGACTGTGTGGTACATCTAATAAATCAACTAAAATGGAATTACATTCCACCAAAGTGCCTAAGTTTTACTCTTTTATTTAACCTCCTCACCCTGTTGTATGATTTTGTGTCAGTGCATGGATTCTGATGGCTGAATTTCCTTAGAGATTATTCATCTTGGTGCGATCTAGGATTCTAATTTCAGTTAAATTTCTATATTTCAGTGGTCTTATTGACCCTGATCACTCAGTTATGACATGATATTTGGCAGACCAAATTATTCTGTTTAATTTAGTTAGTAGGATACTTAGGCCAATAACGTTTATTCCTGAGTGAGTTTGTCAACTTGAATGTAGCCTTAATTTCTGTCATCTTGACAATTCCACGCAAAGCTTCTGGTGTTCCTTTCTTATAAGGTAGTACAATAGATGCTTTGAACTCCTTTCTACTTGTACAATCATTACTAGACATACACCCAATCTATCAACCAATGGGAAAAAAGATGGACGACAGAAAGATCAGAGGTCAAGCAGAGGAACAGCCAACAGGAAAATCTATGCAGCCATTCAATGACACAACAATCAATCACAAACCAATTCATCAGAGCAAGCTACTAAATCACTCAAGAAGAGATATTGACAGCTCACTTCATAATGAAGTTACTGCTGATGATGTCATCTAGAAAGACGATGAAAGCTCCACGATTAAACAAACCAGCTCAGAGAATACATTACCATTCGTTTGACTATTACTGCTTCTTTTCTCATGTTTTCCTAAGAATCTATTGCTAAACTGTAGAGGATAATTGTTAATTAGTAGTGTTCCCTTTCTATGTTTCAATTTTTTATTTAACTCCTTGGATTGAACAGTGAATTTACCAGCTGTATTATTTAAACGTTTGACTAAACTTCCACAAGAATGATATTGGATGAAGTATAGATACTTGCTAGAGTATGTTGCTTTCCTGTAGACGGTAGCATCTGAACGAGCATCTGTCTGTCGTTTCACTTTACAATCCAACATAGCTAATCCTACTTCTTCAGTTTCTAGTTCATAAGTCAACTGGATCGCACCTACAGCTGAGTCAGTGTGTGAAGAAATTATGGAAATGTTCAGATTTCTATAGAGTAAAAGCGCCTACCGTATCTTAAGAGTAGAACTAAACACCCTTAAATCCCCAACTATCCATAAATATGTATGCTACGGTTGAGAATATTGGTGATTTCATGGCTACTTAAGGAATGCTTCATTTCCTGATCTCCAGTGCAGTATAGTCACCACTTAGAAGGATATCCATTAAATTTAAGCTTTGTATTAACTGATGTTCATTACCAAAACGTACCTGAAAAGCAGAACGAACTCGTAATCATTCAGAGACTGATACCTATATCACACAACGGTGAAACTGGGGGATTTACCGTTGAGTTATCGAAACTGATACTTGGATAAAAATCAGGGGTTAGGTATCAGTCACTGCCCTTAGGCTACCATCTTCACTCACACAATGTCAAATGTAGCGAGACATAATGTCGAATCACACACACACACACATGCACGTGCAGCTAGGTCCAATGACTTCCATCAGTACCGAGAACAAGAATGCTAACTGCGTAGCAATTAAGTCACTCATGTACTAATCAATCAGTGAAACAATTTCTGTAAGAAAACTCTTCGATAATACATTCAGTACACACATTGCGTGACAGCAAACTGACAATCTTCGACATTATCTAATCAGTCAAATGAAATCAACAGTCTTATTATGTTTCTTCTCAGGTTTTAAGAGTACAATCCAGGTGTCAAACACTTCAACGTCATATTGATCGCCTAGAAGCTATCAACTCATTTCGCATGTCTGAACTAGAAGATGCTGTCGCTAATGACAGGGAACTAAGACAAGAAATTAGAAATCTACAAACTCGAATCTTTCAACTGGAAGCTGAGGTAAGTGTTCAAATCGGATATATTCTACATGTCAGTTTTAGTATAGAAATCATTCAGATAATAGTATCTCTGTGTTGTCTTTTTCGATAGCAATAAGTGAACTATTCACACGAAATCCTTTCATCTACATTCTCATATTTGTATGAGTTACTGGTGAGTTCTTACAAGATGGCTACAGTAAATAATGCTTTCTATTAGTTATACGTTTATTCAACATCAATTACTTGCATCATGGTCTTCTATAACGTCATCAATTCAATATTCTACTTAGTTACCTGTAGTGCGTAGATCTAGCAGACGTCTTAACGGAAGCAATGACGAGAAAATGCCCACTTAGAATAGATTAATTGAAAACCAATATAGTGATAGTCATTGATAAATAGTCGACTCAGTTAGGTGTAGGGGGAAGAATTGTCTGAACCTGTGAAACACTTCACATAGATAAATAGTTGGACAGTCTTGATCAAGCCAAGTGGATTTCCAACGAATTCTTACAACAGGTAAATGTAAGACTTCGTATACCTTAGAGGAAGCTATTTAGGAGGCGAAGTCGGTGAAAGAAAAAGGAAAAACAGAAAAGCATTGACAAGAAGATGACTCAAGAGAGGGATAATGCACGTGACCAACTAAACAAGTGAATACAACGCTCATCTTCACGTATGAACACTAACCTCTCAAGTACACCTGTAGTCTTGATGACTATTTCACCTATTTATACATATACGTTGAGAAGCAATCACCTGCGTCACTTGTTGACATCTTCATCAAAGGATCTGTTCATGTGAATATTCATTATTTTGACTATCTTGCTCTATGAGGTTACAGAATGCACAATCGTCCACCAGACATGAAGCATAACTTTCCATTGTCATTTACTTAGTGTATTTATGCTAATTCAGTAGAATGGCTGAAAAGCTTTTTCATGACTTTCGGTTTGACCGTTATTCATGATAAACACTAGTGGACTCTGTTTCATCCCTTTTAACGTACGAAATTCAAGCCAATAGGATAATACTGAGTTCATTGTATCACACACAGAATACACTAGGCTGAATGAGGCGATATAATTTCTGATTATAAATAAATTAATAACAATCAGTAGTCTGAACGAAATTCTCATCCGATTCTACAGTTATAAGATGTAATTTTGAAGTTTCTGAAGATTTACTTCTTGATATGAGGTTGGTATTCATGATAGACTGATATCAATTGAAGAAACATTGGAAACCTGGGAACACTCGGTGGCTGGTTTTTACTAGTATGGGACTCCTCAGCAGTACGCAACCACGACCTCGCCTTCCAAGAGTCGGGCTAAGGACTTCAGGTTTCGCAACCAGCACATTACTGCAGAGCCACTGGGTTGGAGTCTAATGGTATATATTTCCTACTTCCTTCACCTCATGATACAGCGCAACCGTAATCCAGTACTACCAAGGAGTAACTGTCCTAATGTCTTCATGTATGCACTGCTGAGGAGTCCCATACTATTATGAAACACCCGTCGAGTGCTCCCAGATTTCCATTGTTTCTCCAGTTGATGTCAGTCCATGACGAATAGCAACCTGAAATCAATTAATAAATCCACAAAAACCTCCAAACTGAATTACTCTTGTACTCATTAGTGAATCGCTGCAAGATGAGATTCCTGGATTTCCAATGAGAAGTCGTGACCGGTGGGGCCAAACCAATTGGGATGTGGAAACAGTTACTCAACGTGGATATTGAATGAAGGTTGCATTATATTATGAAATGATAGAAGTAAGAAATGTGGATCATTCAATTTGGACCCAGCGGCTCTGACTGTGGAACCTGAAGATCCTTGGTTCGATATCTGGTGGACGAGATTGTAGGTGTGCACTTCCGGGGAGTCCCATACTAAGATGAGAGAGCTTTCGATTTCTCCCAGGTTTTCAATGACTCTCCGTCTGAAGTCAGTCCATGATGGATATCAATCAAATGTATGAGTCCTTACTACGTAACTGTTTTGATTTGATTGTACAACTAACACACTGAAATGATTACAATTCCACCTGATAAAAACTTCTATTTCATTTGATCTCCATTCATGCATAGCACTGACTGTCTCGATGTTGAAGTATTCTCACATCGTGCCCTACCCTGGTTATTGTATTTCACTTATTCTCATGGATTTATAACTGCAGAGATGAAGTTATTGAAAATAATTTATTCTTGTTCTGACTAACCTATGGAGATTTTTAATTCGTAAAAGTTATCAAACTTTTTGACACATATGATTAACTCTGGTCAATACTACATCGCTTTCTTTCATACGTTTACAACAAAAAGCATCGAGAGTTTAAGGTTGGTCAACGTATCAAAGAAATGGAGTTGATGAGTAAACTTGCTGAATCCAATATGCGTCTGTCTCACGCTGAAATGACTAATCAACAGGCTATTGTCTGGTCTCAGTTGAATAAAGCACATGAAGCAGCAGCTGATCTTCTCACTCCAGCACATTCTCAAACCTCTTTAGTATCACCGTGTATGCTGACAATGGATTCACCATCTGTTTCACGATATACCACTGCAACCAGTAATAACAATAACATGAGTAGCAATAGTAATGCCAATAAAGAGGATGGTGTAGAAAATGGACGAAATCGAAACAATTTTTCGTCAATTTCACGTTATGGTGATCTAAGAAGAGATGTCAGTGGTCGAAAGTCTGATTTAAGCAAAACGACAATATTTACAGAAGTGAGTATTTTTCTTTACTTGAGTTTAGTCCAGCACTAGTTAATTTACTAGTACTTGTAATTATTATTGTGAGTTTCACTTGCCTGGTTGTTTTCTCTGATTTGGATCATTATTGAGCTTCTCTTATGCATCCTTCAATGGGATTCTACTATAGTTTTAGTTAGCATACAGAGCGTATGATCCTGGATCTATCACAAGTTATCCTATACCTGATCTTTCAAGCCATCCTTGAGATCACTGTTAGAATATTTGCAAGTATCAGTGCATTCTCTTCATGTGGTCATATCTTTGAAGGTATTCTACGAGTAGCTTTGGAGCGAAGTTATATCAATATGTACAGTTTATCTCAAGGTAGCAGTTACACTCTGTAGAAAATCATTCAACATCAAATCCACTGAAGTTTACTATCATACTCAGACACAACAAATGATCTCCTAGAACCTGGCCTTCAGCAGGACTGTCATATTTACACAGATTGATTGATATATACCAACTGATTCCACAGTATTCTTCTGATTACAGTCACTTACAGAAAGAAGAATACATTTCTGTGTCAGTCAGAGTACATCACTACATACGGAATACTGTGTCGTTTTTATGGTTAATTGATGAGTAGAAGACCCTCAGAAGACATGGTCAAACCATCACATTTATCACCTCCATAGTCCTTCCAGTATAGAATACAGGAACTTAATTTGATAAGCTTAAACTTTGATTATACACTCAGTGTCTTGTCACCTTTGTCAATTAGATTATATTCAACCTTATACAAGCTTACAATCAACTTTGAGATAGTGTTAATTAACGCTTCAGAGTTGTACTGCCATATAATTGTTGATGCATAATTTTTATTTGGGCTAAAAACAGCCACCAGCATCTGACAGAGCTGCTCGGTGTTACTAGTCGTGTTCACCTTTGTCAATGACACATGAACAAAAGGATAGAACTTGACCCTGATATCTTAGAGATTATTCTCTTCTCACAATTGTCGTGGTTATATGAGAGTTTGTAGATGACGAAGTCCAATTAGGTAAAGAAGACTTTTTTAATGTAGCATCAAATAATTACCCTGAGTAAAAACTTAAGAATGCGTTTCACACTTTAACAAAAGTGAGATGATATTTAAATACTGATGGTATGGTGAGGTTAAGTAAAACTCTCCAACTGTGATACAGAAATATTTTTAAGAAGTTGGTGTTCAATCAGGGCGATATAGTAGAAAATAAGTTGATTAGGATGAACCTGTTATCGCTAGGTAGACTGGAGAAGTAAAAGAACAAAGAAACGGTTTCCTTCACTCATGGTGTCTGCGCATGTACGTATTAACCGCCTTCCAGTCAACCTACGCTAAAACACATCATCGACAATGTATTTGGGCAACAAGATGTCAGAAGTCAAAAGCAAAAGCTGTTGATAAGATAAGAGTGTATTAGGTGTATTGGCGCGCGCACACACACTCATATACAGAACCCTACATAAAACAGTACAAACGAACTGAGATGTGAGCGGATTAGTCGTATAACAACCTTTTATCAGCGAAATATGAAAATCTCAGTTTCTATTCAAACTTAATGATATCGGATATAATCATCTATGAATAAAAACGAGTCTATGAGAGCGCACATGAATAATCTGTTTGGGGGTGACTAGTTGTGGGATTTATTCTGCTCCTTCATTGTCACTTGGGACTCGTTATCTAGATGCACCCGCATCCTAAGGGGTGACTGCGTCTCCACAGAGGCGGAAACCCAGTACCCATCGCTTGAAACAGAAATCCGTTATCTATTAGGCCACTGAGTCACCACAGCCACCTCATTTGTGGTCGATCTCTCTTTTTATAAGGGCTCCTATGCAAATAACATCTGAAGGGGGGTAGGTGCTGGGTTAAAATGTCAACGAAAACATCATTTACTGTAGTATAAGTATATACAGCTGATGAGCCCCTGATAGGACGAAACGTGCATCCTAGATCCCACTGTTAGCAACCACCAAGTAAATTGTAAAAATCAATAATCAGGCAAAATCTAGGCATCCGCATTGGAGTTCATATGTCAAAATAGGTTGATTAACTCTATCCAGAATAACAACGGAGAATTACAAATATCAACAAATGATAAGTACATGAATAAACTAACATTCAGGCTGATAATGGTGAAGGGAGATGCAGTAAACATAACTAGGCGCTTAAATTTTGTCTGTGGTTACCTATGGACGTTTTGAAAAACATCTACGCACTTAATGTACACTCTTGGTGCTAGACAAAAGTCTAAACGTTGTTTATTCTTGTACCGGTACTTTTCAGTTAAGTTACATTTAGTTGTCAATGCATTTCCATACCTAACTTCATCCCTATTCTATGTGAATTGAACAGTTACAGCAAATAATGATTCTTCAACCTATTCTAGATCTTTTTACCAGTATCTATGCCTGCTGTATGTCAAACACATCAATCAGAATCCCCTACCTTCCTTGATAGGATGATTCTGCATCTGTGTATCTATGATCGCGATTTATACATTAAATCAAAACCTTCAACTGTCGAAGGATGCTACTGGACAGCTTGAGTAGTTGGGAATCACTGAAGTTGATCCGTAGAATTCACCAACCAGATCAAAGTAATCTAAACAACGTATGACTGTTCCAGATTTGGGTGATCTGAACAATTTGTCTCTAAGAGGCGAATACACCCGTGATGAGCTGACTCGAGACCAAACGAGCGAAATGGCTGTTCGGTGCTTAGATCACTCTGATCTGACTGGTGAAATACCTCAGATCAGCTTTAGTGGTTGTTAAATAGTAGTATGCTTTGCTAATTCATGACATTTTCGTGTTAGATATCACACTTTATACTCATGACTGCGGGTGGTTTCTAAGGGAAACCCTGTTGACACCATAGTTGGGTAGTTTGAAAAACTACTCAGCTCGAAGCAAATTTCAATATGAACCATTGTTGAAGAAAACATTATCCACTTTTATAATGTGCATCATATCAAGATGGAATTATCATGTCTAAGACAATTTATCGTTTTTCTTAAAATATTTCACACTTTAGTTTTCAGATGGACAGTGCAATTCAAACTATGATAGTGTAATTGATAAACGATCAATAAAGCCAGAGACAATATCAATATCCGGTCAAAGAAATCAACAACAACAACAACAACATCAGTATCATCCTTCCTGTCATCATACTTCAACTAGTAATCGTGATAGATCAGTTGACTCCTTGTCAGAACTACGTTGAATGCCAGAAAAATGAGTATCACACCTAAATCATCCGATATTACTCGGTAATGATATTTATCAAATAGATGGAAGGAGGTATGATACTAAAGCGTGTAGATGACTTCATTAACCTGTTTATCCACTTGTTCATCTGTCCACTTCAACTTATCCCGCTAATCCCAGCCACCCCCCCACCCCACCCCTAAGCCTTAGAGACAAAAAATGTTAACTGTAAACTTCATATCTGTGTATATCCACTCCTTGATTGCCAATATTCTTCTTTACTACCATATTGTATCCTTTCTATAACAGTCACAGTTGGTCATCTTTGCCAAAAGTAACCCACAATAAATAGTTAAGCATATCATATATACATTTAAAAAAATAATAAAAATATTATTTATTATTTATACATAAAACCAGTGTTTTCTTATCTGTGAAAATTTATTCTGTATTCTTTTCTACTTTAAAAGAAAATATTTGACATCTTTTTTTTCCAAATTTATTCTTCTTCTTATTGATTTTTATTTTAGTTGCCTAGTTCATTTTAAACAGTATAATTTATCAAAAAAAAAATTTCAAAATTCTCTACAATATATAAAATGACTATTATATTGACATTTTTATTATCATCATTCATTTATTGATTTAATTAATTTGAAATATATTTGTGCTTTTATTATTATATTGATTTTTATCTTGCTTGTACTACCCCCTACATTTCTTCTTAGCATTCATAATTAATGAATATTCATTATCTATTGTTAAGATATTTTCTTTTCATTATGGTTTCATTGATATAATTAATGGCTGTGCAATTATTATTATTATTCTTATTCTTTTAAAGTGAAACATTTGTTGATTTCTCTCTTGATGGTTTCAAATTTTTCTATTCTCTCTAGCATAAATGAAGTTTGAGGGCTTATAAAATTTCTTTTTCAAGTTTAAATGATTTTTAAGATGATATTGACTATTGGTGACATATACAAGACTTTATTGTTATGATAATGATAATTTGTCCCTTGAGTTCCTAGTGGAACATACGGCTTCAGTAACACATCAACAGTCTTTTCAACCTGCCTCCACAACTGCCCACAAGCTTTCATTTCCTTCTCACACCATCTCCTCTATGTCACCCTCACCTCGGATGCCCAACTCGTCGTTTCCTATTTCACTACCAATCGACACCATGGTCACATCTGACCTGGTGTGGCGCAACGATGTCCCTAGTTGCTCTTCTCAGTGTATGTCCAATCCAATCCACTCCAGTCCAATCCACCTCCACCCCATTCTTCATATTTGTTGGCTGGTTCATTACGGGACCAGCCAGACTTACTCCTTGCTTATTCTTTCTTATCATTCTGGCCATCTCATCTCCATCTTCACTATCGAATGAGCGTAGACGGCAACTGTTGATGTCATGCATGTTTGTAGTTTGTTGGAAATGCTTTCGTAATGCACCAAGTCTCTCAACCATCACATAGAAGCATTGGCTTGACTTGACTTGACTTGACTTGACGTGATTTGACATCAGTGTTGAGAATCCGAATCGTGTTCACACTTTATACTGAGTGCAATGCAGTGCAGTTCAGTTCAGTTCAGTGAAGTGAACTGCATTGGATTGCAGGAGATTTCCACTCTGATCTCCTCACATTATTGCACGAACACCTGTCTTGCTGTATTTCCCATCCTGATTTTGATATTGTGATTTGTGACTGTGTCGGGTGTATTTGAGAGGTTGGTGTCTAGACAGGTACGTAGGTAGGTGGGTAGTTAAGTGTGTTTTGGGTAGATAGATGTGTAGGTAGATAAGTGTATAGGTAGGTGTGTAGGTAGGTAGGTAGGTAGGTAGGTGAAGGAGACAACTTGGTTTAGATTTCTCATGTTGATGGTGATTGCTGCTTGTTGTTGTTTGTTTGTTTGGTTAGTTGGTTGGTTGGTTGGCTGGCTGGCTGGCTGAGTATGTTCATCACGTCTGTCTTATCTATGTTCACTTGAAGTCTCGTCCTCACTGCGTCGCCTCTTCTGCCAGCTTGTTAGTTTTCGCCTGTTCATCCTCGAGTTTGTGCGACATCAGACATTAGACATAAATTACCATCGTTGACGAAATTCAAATCTTCTCCTGGGGTATTTTCATCGGTCCACCCAACATATACCAATTTCCTCGCTCTTCACAGTTGTCTGTTGCATGGTACAGTCCACTGTTATCCAGTCGACCGACCACAATCAGGAAGATGGTCGGTGTTAGTAGGCAGCAACCATGTCTGGTCTTACTCCTTCTTGTCTTCACTTGGAAGGTATTGGTGAGTTGAGCTTTCCAATTTGAATTAGTCGGCATGTAGTCTCATCATACAGCATAGCATATAGATGTTGAATTAGGTAGAATGTTTTTGGTACTAGAACGGTATTGTTGAAGCAGGAGTTGGCAAAATACTTCTCGGTCGATGCTGTCGAAGGCCTTTTCAGACTGGATGACGTTGAGGTAAGGTAAAGATTTGACTGCGTTTCTATATTCTATACCACGATGATGCGTAGACTTGCGATTTGATCGGCACATGATTTGTTCTTTCTTAATCCAGCCTGCTTGTTCCGGTCGTAGTTTTGAACCCAGCGCATCCTTTGGTATCTCTAGAATGATGCGGCATAATATTTTGCTTGGGGTGAACAGGAGTGGAGCATGATTCTTCACCAGTTCGTGCAAAACTTAGGGCTCCTTTTTGAGAGTTTGACCAGGTAGCCCTTCTTCCAACCAATAGACAGGTACCTTTCCTTCCTTCCATCAAAACCTTCTGCAATGCAAGTGGTGTGAGCATGTCAACTCATGTGTCTGTGTCTGTTTTCAAGGCTTCTGGAGAAATTCCATCTAGTCCTGATGCTTTCCCATATTTCAGCAGCTTCATGGTGTTGAGGACTTCACTTCTGCTTTCGTCGGCGCATTTTTGTTCACTGGTAATTCTGTGACTGGGTTGCTGATGGTGTTATTTCTGGATGAGTTGTGAGTGGTGGTGGTGGTGGTGGTGGTCTATTCAAGAGTTTTTGAAATGGTTATTTCATCATTTCCTTTGTCTCTCCTCTTTAGTAACTAAGCTTCCTTCACTGGCTTTCATTGTGCTAAAGGTTATTGTAGTAATTCAATGGCCTTGTTGTATTTGAAACAACCAGCGCTGTGTTCTTTTGTCATTGAAGACGAACGCACTGTGATGCAACTGAATCCAAGCGACTAGTTTCAAACAGCAAGCGTATAACTCTAAGCTGACTCCTAACTGAAACATAAGTCACTAATGATTCACTATCCAGAATCCTATCGATAAGTGTTGTAATGTGGTCTCCAAGTTAGAAGACTAACCGTCGCAATACACTAACTAATGTTAATTGATTGCAGCCAATCAGTAGTAGGTCGTGGATCTAGACTTCGCGTGTGTCATCAACATGACGAAACCGCATCCGCCGTCAAAAATCTGAAGTCTACAGGAGGTTGACCACCGGTAAAATAGCTCATTGGTAACAGCTACGATTGGATTAATGGTTGGCATTAGTTAGGATACACAAAGGGATATCTGCCACCTCTCTGTTGCAGATACCGCGTATAAATGAGCGCCAACAAGTACGGAACTTAAGTATATCGAGATTACTTGCAGATTGCCTTCAACACTCAATAAAAATCTGTGATAAAGTGGACGATATCAGTAGTAACCGAGACTATACTCAGTTTTAGGACCATCCTTTGGTGCAATAAGTAACTGACAACTAGACTATCTGTGATTGAGATGCTGGCCCTGTTAAACTGAGTAATACAAGGTAGATAGTCGTTTTTTGGCGGAAGAAAATCGCTTAACGCACTGTCAAACTATCTTGGTAGGTGTTAAAACACTGAAGGGTAGTGTAAAAAAATTCGACTAGTGACTGCACTGTTGTTAAAGAAGTATCTGCTTCAACTCATGTAATGAGAATGATTCCTTTTTTTTGAAGTGATTAGGATGATTTTATGAAGTTTGAAATAACTACAGCAGATGAATGAAATTTAAGCTTCATAGAGTACTTTACTTTTCATTCTGTTTACTTTCTTAAAACTCAGGATAAACACCTTCAATAAAGCTAATTAACTTTGAGCTTATTTGAAAATATCTTACGACGATTATCAGTCACATGAAAGAGTTTTTACGTCAAAAATGGTAAGACTGAAAAATACATAAAACCCACTGGTTATATGCATACGTTAACACATTAAATCAAACTGTTTAATACGCTTTGAAATTTTCACCTACCATATCCATAACAGTATTTGCTTATGTATTCATTATTTGACTAATGTTTACGTCGATGCTGTTTTAGTTATCATATAAATACATGCTTACCTGGTTTTCCTTTCAATAAAAATTAACTTGAAGTATCAGTAAAGCCAGAAACAGCTCCATAAGTGAATTTGGTCTGAGCACTTCGACAATCCTGTCTCTGGGTTGGCGATCCAATTGTTGATATTTTCAATCGTTAGTCAGTTTGGTAGTAATGATGAATAGTCGACTCCAGGATGCATGTTTCATCCTGCCTGGGACTCGCCAGCCGTATCTATCTGCCTTCCAGTAAGCGATGTTGTTCTCACTAAGATCTGAGCCAAGGACCGACGGCTTCAAAAGCTGGAGTGTTATCCAATAGACCAGTGGGTCGCGATGGCCGGTGCTTGTGAGACAGGTACAGTGTTGAGGTTATTGCTCGAAATCTCCCATGGTTGATTGGATGGGCTGCTGCACTGACCCCTTCTCTATATTGCCTGTAGTTTCAGTTTGATAATCATTTCGTTGAAGAACGTGATTATCCTCTGATATTATTTGAGAAAGCACAGTCTACAGACCAACCTATCAGCGATTTGGAACAGTATAAGAGTCAGAGTGTAAAGCAAATTTTGCACAGGTTATCGACCAACTTAAATAAATTAACTCCTGTTAGAGTACAACTTGTCCTGTGTGTGTCATTCGTATGACTGTACCGCAGTCGTCGGTGAACTGGTGAGCAATGAGAATTAACCGTAGAATTGTTCAGTATTTAGTTTGCATGGGGCCAATTAGTTCTGAATTGCCTGAAATGTATTGCTATTTCATCTAGTTGCATTTCACCTTAATAGTTTATACTTTTCTATGAAACTCACTTTGAAGTGTTAACTAGTTTACTAGTTACTAGCCAGTCCTAAGCCCGGGTAAACAGGGAAGGTTGGGCATACGGCTAGCAACTCTACCCTCTAAAACAAATCTAACCGCTACAGAAACTTCAAAGCACAAACAAAATATAAAAAATAATAACAAAATTATTCCTCACTGGAATCGGAGAGGCGAAATGACGCCAGTTGGTGAAAGCTTGCCTTCGGGAAGCCAATTAGCCGATGTGTCTTCTCCCTATCGATGAAAGCGAAAGTAAACGTGGGGACATGGAATGTCCGTACGATGTTTGAACCCAGTAAGGCAGCCCAGATTGCAAAGGAGATGAGAAGGTATAACATCGAAGTGCTTGGGATTTGCGAAAGCAGATGGAATGGGAGTGGACTCTCCAAACTGTCAACTGGAGAGGAGTCAATAATCTACTCCGATATTGTCACCCAGACGACAACCACGAGCACACTGAGGGAGTGGCTATCATGATGTCCTCAAGAGCATCGAAGGCTCTCATGCAGTGGGAACCAATCTCCTCCAAGATTAGGACCATGACAGCAAGATGGATTCAACTCAAAAGGAAGGAAAGTCACAATCATAGAATACTGCGTGACGCACCTACAAATAATGTAGAGCAAGAGAAAAAGGAGGAATTCTACAGACAACTTCAATCAACACTGGACAAGACGTCAGTTGGCGATATCAAAATTCTAATGGGCGACATGAATGCCAAACTGGGAGGGGACAACACGGGAAGAGAACTAACCATGGGTCGAGAAGCGCTAGGTGAAATGAACGAGAATGGAGAATTGTTTGCAGAATTCTGTGCATTCAACGATTTGGTGATTGGAGGCAGTGTGTACAAGCACAAGGATATCCACAAAGTGACATGGATTTC